CAACACTTCATTCCCACTAAAGTTAATATCATCAATCACATCAGCCTCCATGACATCACTCATAATAATAACATCATTCATAACAGCATTCATGACTTCATTCACACTGTAGTTAATATCATCATTCACCTCAGCATTGATCTCATCTCTCACATTAATAACATTACTAACATCATTCATGACTTCATTCACATCATAGTTAATATCATCATTCACATCAACATTTATGACATCATTTACATTAATAACATCATTAATAACAACATTTATGTTTTCATTTACATCATTCGCATCAGCTTCCATATCATCATTCCTACCAATAACATCATTAGTAATAGCATTCAAGACTTCATTCACATTAAGGTTAATATCATCATTCACATGAGTCTCCATATCATCATTCATACTAATATCATTAATAACAGCATTCATGAATTTAATTACACTAAAATTAACATCATCATCCACATCTGTTTTTTTTGACATCATTAATATTAATAACATTATTATTTACAGCATTCATGAATTCATTTACATTGATGTTAATATCATCATCCACATCTACTTTTTTATCATCATTCACTTTAATAACATTATTATGTTCAGCATTCATGAATTCATTTACATTAAGGTTAATATCATCATTCACATCTGCTTTTTTGTCATCATTCATATTAATAAAAACATTATGAACAGCATTCATGTATTCATTTACACCATAGTTTATATCAACATTCACATCATTATTGGTAGCAGGAAACAGTCATAAATCACCATTTTTAGTCTCGTTATCAATTGCTCGCTTATTTTGTTTAAAGACCCATTCACGTACCAGAATATCCTTCGGCATTATATCAGGGTCAGTCATCTTGTTACTGTTAATTGCCTCAACACAGACTCTGAAGCTAGAGGCATCATCATCATCCTTGTTAGAGGCTTTATCCACAGATTTGTCCTTGCCAACCAAAACAGGATAGCAAGTTATCACCTTTATTCCGTTTGTTGATAGGAAATCCATGATATCACTTCTATTACAGGCCTTGAGGTTGCTCATCAAGAACACCTTTTTTTTGACAAGGTATTCATTGGCCTGCAATCTGCAGCCTTCATTAATCTTATTACCAATTATTTTTAATGGCGATTTCTTTCTGGATTTAAATTTTTTTGGTTTATCTGAAGTACAGGGCTCCGGCACAGACAAATCATTTTTTAAACAGCTCAGTATGTTAATTATCTTAACGGGAAATTTGACAATTTCTGCATAGCTTGAAGGTTCTTAGCTGACCTTGCCAAACGAATGTTTTTTTTTCCTCATCGTGACATTCATGGACTGATCATCTATGCCATCCACAGGAAGGTTAGGGAATTCATGCAACGGCTGTGATCCTGACACCGACATAGCATTGTCCTTGTTCACTTCCTTGCCTTTTTTAGCCAATGCTGTTGTTTGGATGACAGAAGAAATTTGGTTAAGATCTTCAGAAAATCTTTAAATACCAGATGTCAGCATATCAATCACAGTATTTTACCATTTGGTTACACTTAAAGAATCATCATTATCATTTGAGACTAGTTGGCAAGTCAACCATCCCAAGTGTTGTAACGCCTGTCCGGCTGCTTGGAGTAATTCACCTACTCTCTCCGTTGAAGACATTTAGTTCGTACTATTCCAATTTCGCAATACTCAAAGCAAAAGTTCAACAAATTCACTAAATTAAAAAGGTGAGAACGACACAATTCAAACTCGGCAACGTAAAATAATTTTCGGCGACTTAAAATGATTTTCGAGAAAAATTATTTACATCCATCCGCCATTAGACCAAAGACCGAAAAAAAAACATCTGTCTGCAATCACCGCAGGTCATTGACAACGGGTTCGAGACTACTAAGACGGATATCCAGAGCATTGAATTTATCACCCAGAAACCTATAAAGACTTTTAAATCTTTGGCAACCCTCGCAAAACCACTTAATGCCTTTGCATGTTTTAATAACTTTGTGAATATCCTCACAAGATGACCCAGCGTCAGGTTGATAAACAGTTCCACAGAAACAGCACAATATTTCTTCACCACCAACAGCAGCCGACTTCTGGTTGACATTGGGATTAGGCTGATTTCTTCTTTTAGGATTTGCTTTTTCACCTTTATCCTTGGTCATTTTCACCAATTCACTAATTCAGACAGTAAGTCCACCAAAAAGTTTGGAAAACTGATTATTACTTTAAATTAATTAATTGTTTAAGAAATATTCACTACTTTGATCTAAAGTTCTTAGAGAAATTAGTTATTTAAATGTAATTTCTCAAACATTTCCAAAAAAACATCATAATGTTAGTAAAAACAGCAACATACATACACACTGCAAAAAACGTTCACACACTCAAAAATCATCCACTCTATCATCACACACATTGAAATCCAAGTCATTCCTGATGAACACGCCAACTTCACTTCTATTGCCAGTAGTTCTATTTTTAAAAACAAAGTCGAAATTTTCTAATTTAATTAACTCAGCTGACACCTCATTCAACCATGTCTCATTATTGCTATTAAATTAAATATTTTTTGAATTGATCAATCAACATTTGTAAAGACACATCTTATTATAAAAGCTACAAGTATATATTTTTAGTGGCAGCAGAAATTTAGAATCGTCTCTGACGCTATGCATAGGCGCAGAATAAATGACATTATCATTATAAGTCTGATGAAGAAAAATTGTTTTGAAAAAATGAGATTGAACTCAAAATATCAAAAAATATCGATTATCAAATTTTGGAATTAATTAATTGGTGTCGCTACGGTTCCTGTTGATGGTTTTTAGCGTATTCTTGAGCTCTGTAATTTTTACGTTTTTGTTCTGAGAAAATCTGACTCAGGTAGAAATGTGTATTTTGGCCATATGTTAGGATTCGTAAGTTTTGAAAGTTCCTTGACTGGTAAAATGATTTTAAATGCTGCTGACTCGGTTGCTAAATTTTGATCAGTGATCGATCAGAGTTAACAGAGTTTCTTTTGTGCCACATCTGAAAGCAATTTGTGAAGGTTACGTCATTTGATTTCAGGTTATTTTTGATAACATCTTTATTTCATGAACCAACTTTGCCCACAATGTAGGTTGTTTTCTTTTCGATAGCTTTAGACTCTTTCAATTCTTTTGCCATACATTTTGGAAGATGCTTTTATATCTTCTGGTTTGTTTGAAAATGGATTGGTATTGTATGACCATTATTTTCATTTTGTTTATAATAATCAAAAGACTAACTTAAGCCTTGTTCTAACTTTATAGAGTATGTTATTTTCAAAAAGACTTGTTTGATCATCCTTCCATTTTTTATTTAAATTTTTGCTGACTTAGGTGGGATGTTAAAAGTCTTGGAATACAGTAAATTTTGTGAAAATTTTCAAACTGTACAGTTTGGATCATTTTGTATGATGGGATGGCAGTTATTTAGCCGGACAGTGATGTTTGATGTATAGAAGGAAAACAACATTTTCTTTTAATTAAATTTTGTAATAATGTTGAAGTGGTCTTAACGATTGTTAATTTATTCGTTGAAAACAGTTTAAAATTTTTTGCCATCAATTGGTTATTCTACAAATTATTGTTTTTTTTATATTGAATTTTTGTAATTGAGTTTCACAAAGAGTTCAGTTTCTTACGAAATGATGAGTCACACACACACACACGCAAACACACACATACATACAAACACGCTTACATACAGTGGAAAAAGTGGCCAGAGTTGTTTGGTGTTGTCGCAAAAGAAGGAGCTGGAGTGTACATCCTATCATACTTCATGTATATCGTGTGGGCTCTCATATTTGCACTCCTGGCTGCCATGCTTGTCAAAGTATTTGCTCCTTATGCATGTGGATCTGGTATTCCGGAGGTAATTTTGGTGGTGATAAATTATAATGATAATATGTCCAATAGAATAGTTTTTTTTGTTCTGTACATTCAGATAACAATGATTACTCAGCTACCACATTTGCATATGATCTAATTGAATGGAAATTGGTATTTCTTCAATAAAATATAAATTAACATTTCAGAAATGATTAAATTATGTAGTTGTTATTATAACATTTTGCAACCAACTTCTGTGCACACCAGATAAAGACGATATTAAGTGGCTTCATAATAAGAGGCTACCTCGGCAAGTGGACGCTAATTATAAAATCAATTGGTATGATGTTTTCCGTGTCAGCTGGTCTAAGTCTCGGCAAGGAGGGACCCTTCGTGCACATTGCTGGCTGCTGTGGCAATATCCTCTCTCATCTATTCCCCAAGTATGATAAGAATGAAGCTAAGAAACGAGAAGTCAGTTTTTATTTTATCTTTTCTTCTTTTTTTCTTGTCAAGATTTTAGCTTACTCATATTTTTATTTATTATTTGTTTATTTTCTTAATAATTTTATATTTAATTTATATTTAAAAATTTATGTTTGAAGCTATTGTTTTGACATTTATTGTTCACAACTGTTTTATATTTTTTAGCGTAGTTTTGGTAAGATATCACGGTATATGCACAATGTTTGTCTCAATATTAAATTCTATTGCACTACGTCAAAGATAGTATCTTTGAACTTTTACAACACTAAATTTTTTCACATCCATCCTTTCAACCACATTTTCATCTGTCTATCATCCTATCCTCATCAACTCCCCCTAGATCCTCTCAGCTGCAGCTGCAGCAGGAGTCAGTGTGGCATTCGGTGCTCCAATTGGTGGTGTGCTCTTCAGTTTAGAAGAGGTACATGTCATTTTGTGGTTTTGTGTGTGTGTTTCTGTGTATCTTTTTTAAAAGATAAACGGTTGTGGGTATTGTATATGTGTATGTTTATGAATTATGTCATTTCAAAAATAAACAATTATTTATATGTGTTTGTGTGTTGTCTTACAAAAAGTAATATTGGTTGTTTGCAACTCATGATATTTGCATAATTTCTTATTAGCAAAGTAATATTTGAACTGGGATTGTAGCTTAAAAGAAATAGCATTGTTTATTGGAATGAGTATAAATGTTGTAAGTTTAATATAAACGATTCCAGGTAAGTTATTACTTTCCATTGAAGACTTTGTGGAGATCTTTCTTTTGCGCACTGGCAGCTGCATTCGTTCTTCGTTCCTTCAATCCATTCGGAAATGATCACTTGGTACTTTTCTACATCGAGTACCACAACCCTTGGTACCTCATCGAGCTGGCCGCGTTTATTTTGCTCGGAGTATTTGGAGTAAGTCTGGATGCTTTTTGGCAGATTTTTGTGATTTTTATCAAAGAAGTTTTGATGTTGTTTTTGTTATATTGTTTTTTATATTATTGATAATGTTTGTTCAGAACTTTTCAGCAAAATACAAAATTTGATTAATGAGGATATTGAAAGTGATAGAAATGGTTACATTTAATTGATTGCAGGGCATTTGGGGAACGATTTTCATCCGCGCAAACATCAAGTGGTGTCATTACAGGAAGACTTCAATACTGGGCAAATACAATATAACTGAAGTAAATTGAAATCAGATATGATGATGATAATAATGATAATTTATCCTTATTATGTTTAGGATTACTGTTAGGCATTATAAAATTTAAACAGGTGTTAGTTGTCACCTTGATCACAGCCATCATTGCTTACCCCAACAAATATACTAGGTTAGATTTTTTGAAATTTTTATTGACAAAAAATGGTTGACATTTATACTCCGTAGAATTGATTCTGTGATGCTGAGAGCAAACTGTCCAGATTGTAACATAATGGGAATATCTTCAGCATTGACAGTCTGATTCTTTATCCTCACCAAAATCAGTAGTCACTAGCCTTTCCAGCATCTTTGCCATTTTTGTACCGTAACTATAATTTACCATAATGTACACAATTTAAGGAAAATTTAAGATGATCAGAACTTTATAGACTTTACAGTTAACTACGAAACGTTCAATAGACAGAATTTTGGCCAAAAATGTCAATGCCGAAACTAATACCAAGTAAAACCATTTTAAACTTAACGCCATTCAACTAAAACTATTGCAAACTGTTTCAAAACTATTTTAAAAACATTCCAAGACATTCCTTAAAAGAAAAAACCGAAAGTTCGACAAATAACCCGCATTCAATTTTTCAGTCCACAAGGAAAGCTAGCAAGACTCTTATGCTTTATTTCTTTGATTCCAGCAACTTCTCCATCAATCCTGATCAGGAATCACTCATCTTTAAAAATTTTTCAATATTCACTGTACATGTTTACAAATTTCTTTCAAGGTTCTAATTACAATTCTAACTCTAACATTTTTTTAAATCATATTTTGTGTGAATTATATATGCCACGTAAATTTATTAATAATAAATGATGGATCCAGAATAAAATTTTATATGAAAAGCAAAAACACAAAACTTAAAGACTGGGCTATGCACGTTCTTATGTATTGAAAATGTTTACGTAGATCAGTTCATTATTCATTTTACATTTGCTAGATTAAAGGTTTAAATGTTCGAATGTAACGTCACAAATATATCATAATGTTATAACCGCTGGAATAATCAAATTGCGCTATATTATTTGTTATCTTAATTGTTGTTATCTTTGCTATATTTTTAATTTTTATATTGTAAACCATAGACAGACGATTGTAAAGAGATAACGAATCTTTTGATTGTAAAAATCTACCGTAAAGGCTATTAAGGTCCTGCGAGAGAGAAGTTTCCAGCGAGGTTTGAAGCGAAGTTGTAATTGTAATTTATGTAGTTACGTGGATTACTTTAGTGTTTTTATTACTGTTGGCATTCAAATAAACATACAACAAACTTTGCTTTTGAAGCAGTTGTGTTCATCTATCGGAAATGTTGAACCTACGGAATAACCAACACGATCGTTGGAAGCTACAACACTGGTGTTGGAAATATAGAAATCTTTAAAGTTATAACGTTGGTAGTAACGAGCGTTTCAAGGGTTACAACAATAGCATAACATAAAGTAATAAAAAAAGTGTGCGAACTTCAATTTTCCATTTTCCCAGCAGAAAATGTACATAAAAATGCTAAATGACATAAAAAAGAGAGAAATATGTATATTTTCTATACACTTTAAACTGAAGTTTTGTTTTAATTATTGTTTTCAACATATCTTAAAGTCAAAGAATGGTAGAGAATGTAAATAACAAAATTCTTAAACTGTAGTAATTACTAAGAATTAAGTTTTTCTGTTTTCTGAAATACAAAGTTGAAAGCCTGGCAAATCACGCATGACTTGTTAAATGTTTTTGTAATTTTTGCGCACTTTTGGCGTCAAATACCACGCGGCCAAAAATTTATTGCTTTAGAGAAATAGAATTTTGTTTCTATCTTGTGATGTCTTTCCAATTTTTAGGATGAACACCAGCGCTTTGATCAAGATGCTCGTGAGCATGTGCAGACCTGAAGATGAAACGGCTTTGTGGTTAGTCGATTGTTTTATTTTATACTGAAGATTCAAAAAAATTTAATGTCTCTGCACATTTTCCGTTGTTTGTCGTTAATATTTTCATATATGTCTGCTTATTAGTTAGCATTTTTTTAAATTTTTATTTTTAAATTTGTTGGGATATCAGTTATAATATAATTAATATAATTAGATATAATCTGAATTATAATAATATAATTAGATTCATCAACGTTTGATTTATAAAGATTTTTAATTAAAATGTTTTTTGTAACATCTGATTGATGTGTTGGTTTTTCAATAAAACAGTCATCTCGATTTTTGTGATAAAAAAAAACTAGTCCTACTGCAAGAAGAAAATTCAGTCAACATGACTGAAGGCAATAATTTCCCATAATGGGAAGACAGTGTAAACTTTGTAAAAGTTGTTCGATTCTGTTTTGAATATTACAAAAGTGTTTGATGCCCTACCGAGCCAGCTCACTATGGTGTCGGCAAGCAGATGCTTGCTGGCCTGCTTCGATCCACTTTATATGCTTTTAACCAGACGTCGCATGGTAAAATATTTGGAAGCAAGTAAGCGTGGCATGCCATGCAAGCAGCTCTGCCGTTGTAGCTGCGTTCCATGAAAGAAATATTTGTATCCTATTCGTCAGTGCTATAAAATGAAATAATTCACGAATTATAAAGTGTGGGAAACTTGAAAACTAACAACTGAACAGCGATTACAGACGAAACGTGACAGATGTGAACACGGACATCGTGAGTGCTCCTCTGGGGGACTACGCTGTGGAGGCCATGTGGCATCTTACACTCGCCCTCATTTTCAAGATGGTCGTCACGGTTTTCACGTTCGGAATCAAAGTAACTCATCTTTTAATTATTGTTTACGTTTGTTTCATTTTATATTGGCCGCTAGTAAAGATGTTATTTAAGATATGATTTCAATGATCAAGTTAAGAGGCACAATTCGTTTATTAACTCATTTGAAATAGGATATTTTATAAATTTCTAATTACTTCATTACTATGCACAGTTCTTTTCTGTTAAAAGTTGGTTTGATGATATTAACGTGTATGCTAAACGGTTTTATATTTTTGTTGAACCTGTGCTCCTCAAAAGTAACGTTTTATTTAAATTAAATTCAGCTGTAGTGTAAATGATTTTTGTTTGTTATAATGTAGAATTGTTTCGATTGTGCGCGTTTAAATGTTTTTGAAGGTTCCAGCAGGATTGTTCATTCCAAGCATGGCCATTGGGGCAATTGCCGGTCGATTGGTCGGCATGGGAGTCGAGCAGTTGGCTTTGTTAGTTTCTTATGTTATTTGGTTTCACGTTACCTAACATTTGATTAGTTTATCTATGTACATAATATGTCCATAAGATACCAAATAAACAGGCAAACATGTACAATTGTACATCTTATGTTTTTGTAAAACAATGTTGTGTATTAAAAATGCATCGAGTTTATTCATTTTAAACAATTCATTTATGTGGCAACTGACGCATTACTGTTTGAGCGTGGATGACTTTATTAGAAAAAACCTGTTTGTAATAACAACTTACTTGAAACTTACTGTAATTATTACAAATACGTTCCAATTTGGTGGAGAGTAAAAAGTAATTTGTTCATTGGTTATGAAAGTACCGTGAATATTACGGTTTTAATTTTTGTGAACGAACATTCCTCAGTGCGAACCAGGATCACTATATATTCAAAGAGATGTGCACGAGCGGACACACATGCGTCACTCCTGGCCTCTACGCCATGGTCGGAGCTTGTGCAGCTCTTGGAGGAGTTACTAGGATGACTGGTACCTTCTTTTTTTTGCTAGTTTATTTGAATTTATATGTTAGTATGTATATGTATGCGTGGGTACGTCGGCTCGTATGTGTTTGTAGGTTTGTTACAAAAAGTTAATTGATGCCTTACAATTTTACAAATTTAAAGAAATGTTTGTTAATCAATGATTCAACCTTTAATCGAATTCAGTGTCGCTGGTGGTTATAATGTTTGAGTTGACTGGTGGCTTGCAGTACATCGTTCCACTAATGGCAGCTGCGATGACGGCAAAGTGGGTCGGCGACTCCCTGCACAAGGAGGGAATGTATCCTTTTCATAACGTAATCTTATTCACCAGCAAATTCACTCAATGTTTTGATGTTGCAAACCAGTTTACAGTTGATTGAAAATTAATAGCTTTGATCACCGTTTGAAAATTAATTAAAATCGACATAATATAGAAATGCTGAATAGTAAATTTTAATAATATTAGAAAGAAAAATAATCTATGAAATCTGCTATCTATGCCTGCGTTTAATTTTGTTAAATAGTGTTTTCAACCTTCGGAGTTTATGCAACACATTTTAAAGTTTATTTATCCAATTAATTCTAACCTTTCACTCTATGGTTCACCATATTTTAATTTCATTCATTACTTGACTCTAGGACTTGTTATAGATTAACGAATTTGCTTATTCATATCTTTCAACATTTATGAGAAACAATTCAACTTCTTTAAACCATCCATGCAATTTTATTTGTTTAGCTTTTTTTCTTTGATTCATGAAAAAACTCACTATTCCCTATAAATCTTCCAAATAATTCATTAAAATCTACATCCCGTTACAACAACATAATTCAAAAACAACATGGTTCAACAACATTATGATACAACAACAACGTGATACAACTGATGTTTCTAAACGATATCTTCACACAACAACTGCATGACGCAACAAATTATTGATGCAACCAACACAAATAAATCTGATAATGCCATTTGATGGCATCATGTAGATACGATGCACACATTCACCTGAATGGATATCCTTACCTGGATTGCAAAGAAGAATTCACGCACACAACACTTGCGCTTGATGTCATGAAACCAAGGTTTTCATTATGATAATTCATATGATGATGTGTGTATTTTGTTTATTATCTATTTATATTATGCATATGTATAGATATATATATATATATTTTTCTTTATTTATATTTATAGTTTATGTGATGATGATGTGTATCAGGGGTGCACCGGATAAGACTTTTTATGACCGACCGTGTCTTTTAAATAGTCTTTCAAGGTTTGATGAGCATTTCACTAAAGTTCCAAATCAGCTGCCTATGTTATATTATGTTTATTTTATCTCCACCTTGTTGTTTAAACTCCATTACTAATTGTGATGAATTAAAGTTGATGGGCATTTAATAACAAGTGTTGTGTTGCAGCGTGGAAACGGGCTGTGTGCCGTGTATACCCAGTGCTCGGAGAATTTATAAAATGAAGCTCTTGAAAAGTTAACTTCAGTTTCTGCATTTAATATTAAGCATGCTGAAACGTCTGCACATATTTTATGCATTGATGTTGTAAACACAAAACTTAATATACGCAAACAATCACATTCAAATAAGCATGCTTACATATAAACAACATGCATATATTCAAGCACATGATTATTATTATTATTATTATTATTATTATTATTATTACGTTAAACAAAGGCGAAGACGAAACGTCCCTGTGCCTTCTCAAAACTAAGATAATTTTAAAACAATAAATTAAAAAAACCTATGAGTCTATACTGAATAAAATAATTAATGTTCTTACAAGTCAAATAATGTATTAAATCTTGTAAAAAATGATAATAAAAAAAACAAATATAAACAAATTAATCACATATCCTTATTAATAAATTGACGATAATATCGATATATACTGATAAAAAAAAAATTGAATATATCCCAGTCTCACAAATAGCCAATGTCACATCAAGTATCATTTGTCCTCCAATCATGCATAAATCTGGCATTCATAAGATAAGTATCCAACTTTTTTTTTAAATCATTCACATTATCAGCATTCACAACATCAACACCCAAATTATTCCAGATATAAATTGATCTAATGATAAAGTATTGTTTCCTCAAGTTTTTATGGAATGGAAGAGCAGTCAATTTCATTTCGTGTCCTCTTGTTCGTCCACCAGCTTTCATCATTACTGGGAGGTCACGTTGATCTTTACCTCTAAACAAGTTATACATCATGATGAGATCCCCTCTAATGCGTCTGTAGTTCAGTGTTGGCAAGCTCAAAAATTTTAGACGATCTTCATATTTCAAATGCTCGCAGGTCTTGATCGACTTTGTTGCTCTTTTCTGGACCCTTTCTATCGCCTCTGTTTCCTGTACTGTCCACGGATACCAAACACAAGCTGCATACTCTAGATTAGATCTGACTAATGATTTATAAAGCATTATAAAAATATGATCACTAACACCTTTAAAATTTCTAATTATTAAACCTAACAAAGAATTAGCTTTTTTAACATTGTTTTGAATATGATCAACAAATTTTAATGAATTATCAAATATTACACCCAAGTCCTTAATACGATCGACATTATCCAATGTATGATGACCAATTTTATATTGAAAATTATTTTCAGGTATGTTATACCCATATTTCATTACCACACATTTTTTTTCATTTAATTTTACATTACTTTTTGCACAACTAGTCAAGCCATTTAACCCATTTTGTAATACTATTCTATCATCATCTGAGCTAACAATTCTGTACAATTTTGCATCATCTGCATACATATACAATGCTGGACCTTTTGCATCTTTATACAAATTAAACACATCATTAACAAATGAAAGAAATAATATAGGACCCAGCACACTCCCTTGAGGAACCCCACTTAACACTGTACAACATCTAGACAATTTATCATTCAATCTCACTCTGAATGTTCTTCCACTTAAATAACTGTTAACCCAAGTAATCAATCTATCATTCAATCTGAACTCTTTCATTTTTTCAATTAAAATACCATGTGACACTCTATCAAAAGCCTTCTCAAAATCCTTGTACACAACATCAATCCTGTAGCCATCGTCTAGTGCCTTAGTCTAATCATCCAGAAGTTTCAAGAGTTGCATTACCGTTGATTTACCTTTTACAAAACCATATTGTCTAGGGTCAATCAAATCATTATCAGTTAAATACAACATCAAATCATCCTTAATGACCGATTCCATCAGTTTACAAATAACACTGGTCAATGCCACTGGTCTATAATTTCTTGCATCTTTTTTATCACCCTTTTTATAGATAGCTGTTACAACATTTTCCTTCCATATACTAGGTATGACTCCTCATTGATATGATATACCATATAGAGCAGACAAATAATTACAAACAGACTCTTTACATTCGAATAAAATCTTTCCATGTAGATTATCTGGACCTGACGATTTGTTAACATTCAAATTTTTTAATTTGTCATAGACAACTGTAGGTTCAAAAGTTATTTCGTTCATTTTTGATCCAATGAGCTCAGATTTCGAAACAGCCTGATAGGGTTCATCACGCAGATCATCCACTGTCTCATAAACTGATGAAAAAATGTCAGCCAACTTATCTGCCATTTCCTGTTGATTAGTCACAATTCCTTTCTTCTTACCATCTTTCCATATACAATTTTTTTTCTTTATTAACTTTAATAAATAAGTTGGTAACTTAACTGAATAGTTTTTCTTAGTTAAAATTTCAGTCTTAAGTGGCACATATTTATTCACAGCCATGTTAATAACCATAACAAACCTATCCAAAATCTCATCTAACACAATCTGCTTATCCACATCACCTTTTATTGAATTGTCTATTTTAGGCATCGATACATTTGCAGAAATAAATTGATTCATAAGACAATAGTTTCCTGTTTTGTATTCAAACATTTTATTTTTTTTAAATGTGTGATTACCTCTGTATTCACCATCAAAGAAAAACTCAACATCAGATGATCCTTTTACTTTTACCCACAGGCGAATTATATTCGATATCTTGTATTAAACTTTTTTGTTGTGCTAATAGCAGATCTAAAATATTCTGTTTCTGTCCATTCCTATATCTTGTTGGGGCATCAATGAACTGAACCAAAAAACAATAATTTACACAATCTATAAACTTCCACTGAAGCGACTTTAAACCTCCACTAACAGACATCGACTCCCAGTTTATTGTAGGGATGTTAAAATCACCAATTATAAATTTATTACCACCATTGCCTATAAATATCTTTATTAAATTTCGGAGTTCATCATTATTCTTCAAACAGGAGTTTGGGCTTCGGTATACTGCTAAGAATGAAATTTCCTCTTTAAAATTCAACAAGCGAACTGCAATATGTTTTTCAAATTTGCTTTCAAAATCAACAATAACTGAGGAGAGTGTGTCTTTAACATAACAGAAAATATGTATAAATCCAGCCTTTTTAAAATTACAGCTATACAACCTGAACCCTTTAATTTGAAATTTCTCCAGTCGATAACTACCTGTCAAGTTCTTTTGGTTTGTCTCCACAAATATCAAAATATGCATCTTCTTATACATCGAGTCAACTAAATATCTAACCCATCTTATTCAAATAGAGTCTACATTAGAATAGAGAACACCTAATTTACACTTTCTGTCTTTATTTCCGTTGCTTAATCTAACCTTATCAAAACAATCATTCTTATTGCCTAATTTGTGTCTGAACTTTTTCCCCTTCTTTCTATCTTTACTAACCTCATACTTCCAGGCAAGCCCCATACCCTGTATATATATTATTCTGTTTTTCTCTGTCCTTATTTCCGTTGCTTAATCTAACCTTATCAAAACAATCATTCTTATTACCTAATTTGTGTCTGAACTTTTTCCCCTTCTTTCTATCTTTACTAACCTCATACTTCCAGGCAAGCCCCATACCCTGTATATATATTATTCTGTTTTTCTTTTGTTTCCTCTACAAGCTTTTTCCTCTCTTCCCTTTGTTCTTTATTCAAATCATGGGATACTCCTATTTTAGTAAACTCAGTTTTTAAGTACTTTATCTTACACAAATTCTCTATTATCAAATTTTTTTACTTCTATCATTGAATTTAATTAAAACAGGCTTTAACCTATCTCCAGAGCTCTTTAACCTGTAATATTTTGTTATCACACTCAGTAACATGACCATCTAAAAGAACCGAGCAAAAAGACAATATTTTTTTTTATCATTCAATCTGTTTATCTCAGCAGTCTCTTCCTTATTTTCACATATACCAAAAATTATAATATTATTTGCTCTATCTTGTTCACCACATCTGGTTTTAATATTTCCATTAGTTTTTTCTATATTTTTGCACACAGACTGTACTTCTTTATTTACCACTTTTACTTTTTTAAAAATCTCTTTGCCTACTGCATTAACCCAATCATTTTTAAAATTCCCCAAGTCTTAATTATTTTTTTTTTCCATTAGCTTAATACTACCTGAATTAGTTTCTGTATTTTTAATTGAAACATTCATACCCTTGATGGTTTCTAATAATTTATTGTACCACTCCTGTAAGGCTGTTAATTTTGCATCCATCGCCTCTTGTTTTTCTTTAATGTCACCAAAACTTCTAGCATATTCCAAATCACTTGTACTCACACTCAAACAATTACTACAACTCCATATAAAATTGGATATTTTGCATTTTTTAAAATAAATCTTCTGTTATTCCACCACATTTGGGGTGGCAGAAAACCCTACATGTAATGCAGCATAAATTATCAGCTGTACAAACCTTATTACACTCACAGCAGAGACTCTTATCCTTATTAGCTATCCTAATTATCAATTACTCTTTTTCTCTCTTTTCCTCCCCTTCCATCTTAGATATATAATTTATATATAAAATATACACTCTCAAGTGCGAGAACAATCAATCAGACAAACACAGAAAAATGACAACACCCAACAACAAGTGACTGGCGTGTATCCTACAGCGGATGCACGAACCGTTGTGGTACTACCCTCTCAACGCCTCTAGCCGTGCACTTAGTTTAGTATGTATTCTTAATTAAATACTAATGTTAAATACAAATAACCGTTTTCGCTGGGGAATACAACTCTACTATACCAAAAAAAAAAAACAAATTTTTATAAAAAATTATCATGAAAAATTTAATTGATATTATCGCACACCAAAGAATCATATAAATTATATACATACGTGCACCATAAATTTTTGAGATTGAAAATCTTAAGGTCCAAAATATTTGATGTCTGACCACTTTTGAATCTTATTGGAGAATTTATATGCCAATGCAAAAGTCTGTCTTCCAAGATATCCAAAAATTTGTTTTCAACTTTGTCATTTTTACTCTCGCAGTTGAACGATGTATCCCATTCAATCGAAAAAATTGAAATCTCGAAACATCAGGAAATAACCAGATAATGCCATCACACCATTTATCAATGTTAACAAAAACTCATTATCATCATTAGATTTTGGACTCCTATGAAGGAATAGGATGTTTTGCGTTAATGATTATTTGTAAAACAATAACATTAATAAGCCTCTTTTGTTGGCATCAGTAAAACCAGAAAAATTACTTGAGTAATCATTCAAATTGAATTCTGATAACATTTGCTGAAAATTTTGAAGTTAAATCCGATGTAACCTCTAATCTTTGTAAAAAAAAATTTCCAATGGTAACGTTAACATAATTTACAGAAACTTATTTGGTAGTGAATCAACATTGATCATAATGACACATGAATTATTCTTGCTGCTGCAGCCTGAATTTTTGACATTTGTAAATTTTGCTTCTTTAAAAGAATTTGTATGAAAGTCTGTTGGTTGACACATGTTATTTGACTATTGTAGGTACTTTGGATGAATGCAAGTTTCTGTTGGATTCTTTGATGGCGATTAGATTTCTTAAGTAAATTGGCTGTGATGTTGAAAGTGTCTTGAATGTTATTTTAGAAATTTTAAATTACTTATCGAAACTTAGCCTTGAATCTAGTATGATGCTGAGTGTTTTCACCTGATTGCTTATTGTAATGAGAATGTGTGGCTTGATTCGAATGTTGTCAATTTTGTTAATTTCTTTTAATTGCTGGTATGTTTCAACATTGGAGTAATTTGTGCTAGTTTAAGTTTGTTTGGAAAAAGATCCACTAAAAAGATTAACTATTTGAAAAATTGCTTTTGACAATATCTCACTGCAATTTATCAAAACTTGGCTAGGATCGGGATTCAGAGGTGAAGTTTTTTTGCAGGTGTTTTTGATAATCTCTGATACTTCTGAAGGATTTACTGGCTAAAATTTTTTAAATGAACTTGAAGTTGATGTTGATGGTTTGTTAATGCTAGGGTACGAGAAAGTTGAGTATTGATGTTGTCATGAATCTTTTTTATTTTATCGATGAAAAATTTATTTAATGTTTCGGTAATATGTGATTGGTTGATGTTGATATTGTTGTCAATGTGTTTTTGGTGTAATAGTTGTTTGTTGAGGTGTCGCCAAAGACATCTTGAATTGGTTGAACTATTGAGTTCTTTCAGCAACAATGCAGCTTTTGATTTTAATATTTCTTTTCGAGCGAGTTGTTTTGCAGAATCATAGGCATCCTTGTCCTTTTGCAAATGTGATAAAATATTTCTTTTCACATTTCCTTACATCTCTTTTTGCACGGATTGCTTTTTCTGACAGTTGGCATTGATGATGAGAATCACACAACTGAGCAGTTTTTGTCTGCAATGGCATCCACACAAATACGAAAATAAGTAGATGGCTGAGATCCGGTTTGTTTTTATTCCCCATTTTCTTGAAAGCAGCGAGGCACGAAATGACATTTATGTTTAATTACTGTAGATATTTGATTATGTCACCAGCCTTATATCTGCCGACATTGTTAACATGGTAAAAAATTTATTTACTATGATTCTACTGGCTTCGATAAGTGAATCTTTTGATTGGCGAGAACCAATTGTAACCTTTTTATATTTTGACATCTCATGAGTAATTTTGTCTGCATTTTAATGTTTACTACGAGAGTCAACCGAAACAAAATCATTTGACGTCATCAGAAGACAAGATATTTTTTGCCGATTTGTCATGAACAAAATTACCAGAAACTTCTGCTTTCAAATAAGCAAGCACTCAGTTTGCTGAAATCACTTTTCAAAGACTCAGTTGACTTGTTAATTTTTATAACTTTGTTAGGAAAATATTTAAATTAGCTTTTAGGAGATATAGTCGACCTTTAATATTGATAATTTTTCTAGTTAAATCATTGCTCATACATCAATACGTTGAGTTAGTGGAGAGATGCTGCCGGAAACGTTCATATTTTTACAATGGTCACATGTGCACGGAATTTTTCTAATTTTCTCAATGATGGTCAAAATTTTGTTAGATAGGACCAGATGTTTACGATAATGTCTTTACATACTGAACAAGACAGAGTTATCAGTTTTTTCCTTAACTTTATTGTACAATCATTAGATTGCACCATAAAACTTAATTTTTTATCAAATGTTTTTGATAAATTTATCAAATAGTTTTTGATAAATTTGTCATCGTAATTAAATTAAAATTTTAATAAATAATACAAAATTGGATGATTTGTTTCAACAGCCACAATATTTTGTATTGTTCCAAAAAGCGTTTGAATAAAATAAAATATGATCGTTATTTACAATCAAATTAATCATTTCGAATGTTTTGACTAATAACTTAAAACGTAGATACCGAATGGACCTACAAGATGTAAAAAAATTGCGCAATACCCCATACGATAATTCACATATATGGGATATTTATTAAATGACAGATTATGCCCAGTTTTTGAATATGATCATTAACTATCCTCCATGATATCCAGTCGAATATTCCGGGATAGTGAAAAAAGGCTGGATATTCGGTCAGAGCCGGAGCTAAGCTCCGATGCAACCCTTATATATACATCTTTCATGTTTTGCTTTAAATATCATACGAGGTGTAATATTGGATTGAAATTTCAGAGGACACGATCATCATCTGTGCACGGTGACACAAGACTCCATGACTGTTGGAGATATTGGTATCACTCATTTCCTTTTTTGCATTTTAAATTAATATATTTTTTTATCATTAAAGAATTTATAACAACGAAACGCGTACACACTTAGAAACAATATTGAGAGATACGGACCACAATGGCTTCCCAGTCATTGTATCTCGAGAATCACAATTTCTTGTTGGTTTTGTGCTGAGGAGAGATCTCATCATTGCCATTGGTTAGTTGTGTTCATGGCCACCCTTAAAATAATAAATATTTAAGTTTTTAAATTAGTATATTTGGTTAACACGCTCTTTATTAAACGCAGAACTCAGGTCATGCAAATAAAAAACGCATTTTATTAGGTAACTTAACGACCAAAGTAAAATTTAGAAAAAAAAGGCGAACAGTGCAAGCAATAAATTATCATGATCTTTAATGCATTAGTTCGATAACCGGTCATGAATGAAGGCACCGTTTTCTTAATTAGAAGTAATATTCTGATATCCAAAACCATCTCTAATATCCAAATCACCATCGTTTACAGATTTTCAATAAAGACGCTGATAATATATTAAATAAAAAAATTAAAAAATGAATAAAAAATTTCAAAGAAGTCAAAGTTGTTTTGAAAAATCAAAATTTCGATTCAATAATATCAACAATTCAATTTTTTATTAAGGAATTGAAATGTAAATAAAATTGAACAAATTCAAAATATATATTGGTGTTCTTTGTTACAGGCCAATATTTAGCAAAAGCTGTTAAGCAAGTTTTTTAGTTTTATGAATGAACAATGTTAGTGGATGGTTCAATTTGGATACTGATATGATCAAAGAAGTAGTAATATAAAAAAATAAATTTGATTCGAACGATAAAAACCAATTAGTCATAACAATAATTCCTGGAATAATTCACTTTCAAATTGTATACTCCGAACTGTTTCAACATAAAGAGGTACACCATATCGAGCCATTCAAATATTTAAAAAAGTTGTAGCAAGGGTTGACATTGGAGCTGCTCCAATCCAACTAGTTACGCTGTCGATACAAATAAATAAATATTGGATTCGCTGTCGATACAAATAAATAAATATTGGATTCACTTTCTTGTTCAACGAGATAACGGATCTTCAATATCTAATCGAACAGTCTCGAATCGTGCGAACATTAAATTGAAGGATGATACTGTAGATTTTGTGTGTCGATGAGTTTTATTTTCTTGATAGTTTAAACATTTTTTTGATTATGTTCTTATTTGCTTGTCCTTATTTGGTCAAAAATATCTTGATTTGATTAGTTTGATAGTTGTTTTAGGTAAATTAATCGAGCCAAGTCAACTTCCAGTAAGTCGTTACATTTGAATATCCGTCTGAACAATTTTATCTTGAAGGTATTTGGGAGCCAAGCCTTTCTTGTATTTATAAACTACAACAGCAATTCTGAATACAACTCTTTTCTTAACTGATAGCCAATGCAATTCACGCAAAATTGGAGTAACGTGTTCAAACTTTGATGCAGCCATTACAATCTTTGCAGCCCGATTCTGTATTGACTGCATCTGAGTAGTCATTTTATTTGCAGTGCCCCAGAACAAAACATTGCAATAATCCAACTTTGAATGAAAAAAGCTTTTTTGTTCTATCATGCATAAAATAAATAAAAATTTTGGTTTTGAACTCAAAAAACTTGAGAATGATTTATGATCAACCGTTAGAAAAATCGAAAAACTAAACAGGAAGCTAACGCGGAATATTCTGTGATTTTCATCAATGTTTGCCTTTCCGACAGTTTTAATCCAATATATATATATATATATATATATATTTATATATATATATATATATATATATATATATATATATATGTTGGTAATAGACCATAATTTTTACAATATTCTATAAATTCTACCGAATGCTTGGCGTTAATATGTTTGTAGTTCGTTTTTTCGATTTTTGGTGAAGTTTTTTGGTGAACGTTTAGTTTATTAAAATTCAAAATAAACTTATTTTTCGAACTTGGGATCACTGTGATGTTGATTGCATTGTCAAGAATGAACTAAACTTTTTTTGTTATTCGTTAAAACTGAACATGACGGTAGCGACCTCTTAATATTGTCCAAAAATTTAAAATTTGTACTAATTTTGTTCTATACATAGGATCATTTTTGAGGGGTGCCCAAATTTTAATTCAAAAAATAATAGTTTAACATATTGTTTTGCATCACCCTATATTTTTCAATGGGATCACTGTGATGTTGATTGCATTGTCAAGAATGAACTAAACTTATGCCGGAAAGAATTTATAAATGCATATATGCAATCATCAAAACTAAAACTTCATAAAAAACTGGCCAACCTGATAACCAAAGGAAATAACAATATTATAAAAGATAGATTCATCAATCTTAGCCACCACATCCTTACAGACAAACAAAAAGTGTTCTTAAACCTGGGATTGAATTGCCATTATCTGAAAAAACCTAACAAAATTGAGAAAATCATTGAGATTGAAAAGCTAATGATGTCTATAAGCGACGCTGAACGTCAAAGTAAATTAAGCGTCAACCCCTCTGTTGCCATTGAGCTTCAAGCTGAAGCCAAGAAAACACGAGGTTGTTTTCAAAGTAAGCTGAGGAGATGAAGGATGCGGCGAAGCAACTTAGGGAGAATAAAGATATCGTAATAAGACGCGCAGATAAATCTGCACAATATGTCATTATCGACCGAGCCGATTACCATGAAAAACTCAATGATGTTCTCAATGATACAAAAAAAGTTCCAAGTATTCGAAAAATAAGTTTATTTTGAATTTTAATAAACTAAACGTTCACCAAAAAACTTTAGTGAGAAAAATCGAAGAAACGAACTACAAACATATTAACGCCAAACATTCGGCAGAATTTATAGAATATTGTAAAAAATATATATATATATATATATATATATAGGGTGATGCAAAACAATATATTAAACTATTATTTTTTGAATTAAAATTTGGGCACCCCTCAAAAATGATCCTATGTATAAAAAAAAATTAGTACAAATTTTAAATTTTAGCACAATATTAAGAGGTCGCTACCGTCATGTTCAGTTTTAACGAATAACAAAAAATGAAAAAATCAGCATATTCATTACCAGTTAAACAAATCTATAGTTATTTCACTTGTTTAATAAAAAGTTTACAAATAATTAATAGTTAAAATCCTGGTTTAACTGCATCAATGTTGACTTGTTTCTATCTGGATAGTTTTGTCTATACGGCTCCACAACTATCAGCAGATACCGTTTCTGTTCTTTATCGTTTGTGTGAAGTTTATTGTACTCTTCCATAAGAGCTACTCCACGTTCTGCTATGTCATTTACAACTCTGAGAGACGGTAGTTCAGCTTTTGCTTCTTTGAAGGTTTTATTGGTCTCCCAACAATCTGGATCACTGGTCAAAAATTCAAATGAAAGTCCAGTAATTGCGAAAAAACGATAGGTGTTATGTGAAACAAAATCATCAAGTTCTTTGAATTGTATCATAAATTGATCAATAGTTGCTCTTTTCACCGAGCCAAACTTTTGTGTTCAAACTTCTCACCATTTTCTGTTTTATGTCAAGTGGTACTTCATCGAAAAAGGCCAACGCAACAAGTTCTTCTGGTAAATACCAGAGGTGTCTCAGAAATTTGTTCAAAGCCACAGCTGAAATATGGGAATCAGGATAGCTGCAAGTACATGATTTATTATTTCATATATTGGAACATTTTTGGATGGTGCCCCATGAAAAATTCACAATTTAATTTTTTTTGCATCACCCTAAGTAATAAATAATAATCCACAAAACAGCAACTAATCAAACTATATATCTATCCGACCGGCTTTATATAAGCTTTATATAAGTTTATGTATATTAATAATAGGGAATTGGTTATGTTTTGCAATAATATATATACTACTTCTATACTTCCTGTTCATTGTACAACGGTGTCATTTTTAGAAAAAAGATGAACTAAGAAGATGAAGAAAATGTCACCAATTAATTTACTACCTTTCCTTTGTCTAAGAAGCTATATAAACCAAAGCTACACTAAAGATGATTTGTGAAAAAATTGAAATACGCCTATTTGCAGAATGAATTAGGATAATAGTTCTATGTTTTAATAAATTACACAATTTCTAGAAAATTCTAATAAGAAAATTTGAAAAGACGAACTTTAAATTGGTTAATGCTAACACTTCTGTAGAATTCATACAAAGTTGTGTATATGTATGTATGTATGTATGTATGTATGTATATATATATATATATATATATATATATATATATCAGTTAATTGTAATGCATATTAACTACCGTAGTCTAAATGCTCATCTTGAAGAAATAACTCAATTAGTGAATAGTATTGGTTCTTATATTTGTGTCATTGCTTCAGATAAACCAAAAAAATTTAAATCCAGAAAGAAATCGCCATTAAAAATAAGATTAATAATAATTGGTAATAAGATTAATGAAGGCTGCAGATTGCAGGCCAATAAAAACCTTGTCAAAAAAAAGGTGTTCTTGATGAGCAACCTCAAGGCCTGTAATAGAAGTGATATCATGGATTTCCTATCAACAAACGGAATAAAGGTGATAAATTGCTATCCTGTTTTGGTTGGCAAGGACAAATCTGTGGATAAAGCCTCTAACAAGGATGATGATGATGCCTCTAGCTTCAGAGTCTGTGTTGAGGCAATTAACAGTAACAAGATGACTGACCCTGATATAATGCCGAAGGATATTCTGGTACGTGAATGAGTCTTTAAACAAAATAAGCGAGCAATTGATAACGAGACTAAAAATGGTGATTTATGACTGCTTCCTGCTACCAATAATGATGTGAATGTTGATATAAACTATGGTGTAAATGAATGCTGTTCATAATGTTTTTATTAATATGAATGATGACAAAAAAGATGATGGATCATGATTTTCCATCATTCTTCTCAACCGATGCATCGCCTGATGAGGTGATAATGATTGTTAATAGACTAAAACTAAAAAACTGTTTTGACAGTGATCTTTTATCCACAAAATTATTAAAGGGTACTATTTACCCCATAGCTGGTTCAATTGCCACTTTATTCAACAAATCAATCCTCGTTGGCCAGTTCCCTAATAGACTGAAATTGGCAAAGGTACTACCTATTTTCAAGGGTGGTGATTGCAATCAATATGGTAACTACAGACCCATATCGATTCTATCAGTATTTTCAAAAATTTTTGAAAAACTAATGTTTGATAGAATGTGGTCTTACATATCTAAACACAGAATGATTAATGGAAATCTATTTGGCTTCGTTCCCAAGTCATCAACTGAGAAGGCTATTGCTATGCTGTATGGGACTCTCCTAAATAATTATGATTCTAGGAAGCTTAGCTTAGGCGTTTTTATAGATCTAAGCAAGGCATTCGATTTAATTGACCACAACCTCGCTATCAACGTACATAACTAACTAATTCAGACAAGCAATATTAACCTATCCAATAAACTTTATTTTTGATTTAACTGACTAAACACCTCACTTCTGTTACCAAATGAGATGCATGAGTAACTGAATCGATTATTTGATTTATTTAAACTTCATAATTTGTCGAATCTAACACAAAAATATATTATTAATCCAAAAAAATTGCAAAAGTTTATTCTCAAACGAAACAGCCTATTTCTCTCGCTTTCCAGACAGCTTTGACCGAGTTTACTCAGTCAGTGCACCCATATCATGTGACGGCCACAAGCCACAAACAATCAGTGAGCTCATATCGCCCGCTTACTATTGATGTCACGACGGTTCAAACCGTGACACTTATTAACAAAAATTTTAAATATTTTAAATGTTTATAGTTAATAATAAAAATATTTAGTCGTGATACCACTTATGATGAAATTAAGTCAATGTTCAAACTAGGCAACGCTAGAAAGATGAACGAAGGAATTGTGAGCAAGTCGTTAGTTTACTTTTCCAACACTGTGGTCACTGGAAGCAAGTTGGGGGGGCCTGAACCCCTGAAGTTGAGGAAGATTGTCGATATGGTTAGTCTACATCAAATGGTGACTTCAGAATTTATTATTTAAGGATTGTTATATAGATAATATTTATTAAGAATTTTTGTGATTTAATGATAATTAATCAAAAACATTGTTATTAAAATGATTTTAATTACACTAAAAAACAAGTTGTAGATATCTTAAATGTCATAGATTGTTTCTTAAGCAGATTTTCATGCTGAATTCAAATTTGAAAACCGTTTCGCTCTATCAGGTCAAATTGCCTAGATATTGTTAAATTTATATATTTAGTTTGCTTGAAGACTGTGGGCTAATACATGATCATTTTATTAAATGTCTTGTTTGTTACTATGAGTGTATTTTTTATAACCCCCTATATATGTTTATATAAACTTCATAAGAATTTTTTATCAATATATATATAATATATAAGAATGTCAATTCATTTATGCAAAGTTATACAAATAGGTGTATTCGTATGCCCACAAATAAGAAAAATGATGACGGAGGAACATTTTGAAGATATTCTTAGCCAAACTGAAAAAGAGGCGTGGGTCGTTTCATTTTCTTGGAAATAAGAAAAGTGCCAACTTTGTGGATGTGGTACAAAAATGCATTAGTGCCTACAAAGATCTTGATTGTAACATAGCTCTGAAAATTCATTTATTCGACTCCTAGACCTCTTCCCAGAAAATCTAAGTAAAGTAAGTGACAAACATGACAAGCTCTTCCACCAGGACATTTCGGTGATGGAGTCACGCTATCTGGGTCGAAAGGGTGAAGCAATGTTGGCAGACTATTGTTGGACCATTCAACGTGATTTGTCAACTCGTCAATACAAGAGAAAGAGAAAATACACAGCCAAGAAATTTACTCCATAAATATGTCTAACTAATTTTTACCTAAGATTTCGAATTGATTTTTATTTATCATATAAATATTGTTATTTTAGTATTTAAAGTCATGTTTATGTTTATATTTAAAACTCATGTAAAAATATCTTTTGAGTGAAAGTTTTGTATGAATAATAAATATTTTACGTGTTATATTAGTAAATTAAAGTTCAAAATTTGAAATCAACATATTCAAATTTACTTTGATAGATTAATGTGCCAAGATATCTGCAAAAAGTTTTTTCTAGTTCAATGTTATTTGTGTTCATAGTTTTTATCTATTTCGTGGTTTTAAATAGTTCGTAGTGATTGAAAATAATAGAGAGGTAGGCTTTTGAGATCTGAACGACTGAGTGATTGCTGATTCATGAGAACTGATTGACCTAAGTAAGGCAACCTAGGTAGGCAATATTTAAAATTTATTTATATTTTGTTTTCAGGCGCCAGTAACCATAACAGACCAGACACCCATGGAAACAGTCATTGATATGTTCAGGAAACTTGGTCTGAGACAAACATTAGTCACTAGAAACGGGTACATTATTTTTGACGTTTTTATATGCCACTATATTTTTGACGGATTTGGAATTTTTCGGTGAAAATTTTAAAAATTTGAAAACAATTTTTTTTATTCTAAAAACGTTTTTATGATCGTGTTTTTTTTAAGATGATGAATATGTCTAGCGATTGCAATCATGTTTGATACTTAAAATAAATGCTATTATGTGAACAAAATCACATAATTTTCTTTCGGTATGTTTTGAAGCATAATTATTGAGTTATTTTACTAAGAAAAACAATTACGTTGACCGATATTAAATGTTTTTTAAAGTATTTTTTATTTAGTAGTGATATTTAAGTAAGATTGTGATGCAAAAGTTAAAATAAAATTTTTTAGACTCGGAACCGTGAGTATGAGCCGGATATTTTTACCCGGAGCCGGAGTCTAAATTTTTTTGAGTAGTCAGATATTTTTTATCTGACTTCGATGAAAAAATATCCAACTCCGACCTCTTGAAAAATTCCGACTCCGGCTTTTCTGACTCCGGGCAAAAATCTCTGACTCCTGACTCTGGGTTCCACTCACTGAAAATTTTTTCAACTTTTGCATCATGATTTTACCTTATTATCACCGATAAATTATAAAAATTTATAAAAACACTTAAAATTGTTCAAGGTAATTGCTTTTTTTAGTAAAATTACTTTTTACTTGTGTTTTAAAACATACTGGTAAAAAAATTGTCATTTTATTCAAGTTAGTTTTCAATGTTAAAAATGTCGCTTATCGATACAGCATATCTTTAAAAACACGATCTTAAAAAAATTTTCAGAATAAAAAATTTTTTTTTTCAAATTCATAACATTTTCCAGAGTCGGATGAAAAAATCCGACTCCGGTCCCTCAAAAAATTCCGACTCCTGCAAAAATCTCCGAATCTGATATTCTGGAATTTGCTACCGGAACATTTTTTTATTTAATACAAACACAGTTTGTATTAATAAGCGTGTAACAATTTGTGAGCTTTCGTTTAATAAATATTTTGAATCTAATTTTGCAGTCGCTTGCTCGGCATAATAACAAAGAAAGACATACTTCGCCACATAGCCCAACTAGAGAACGAAGACCCTGCATCTATACTTTTCAATTAAAATGTTATTCACATTTTGTAATATATTAAACGTGTTATTGTATTTTCACAACTTATTCGTGATTCATTATTCTTCAATTAAATGTAATTTATCGATTAAATGAATTAAAATGTGGTCTGAAGTGTTTATTGTACTGCCCAATTAAATGAGTGAACATGTCCCAATGAAGTAAATATTTTACGGAAATTTTCGTTGTTATCATATCTTGTATATTTTAAATGTCGTTCGTAACTTTATTAACCCTATTTAACCTTATTAAAAAATTTATTCTTTTTTGAAATTAATTGTTTGCTCTCTTCATTTTGTTAATTTTCTCTACACTTCAATTATGTCACCTCCACATCCATCTAAGTATTTTGATGATGCCGTCGGTGTGTATATATATATATATATATACAGTCTTGTATTAATTCTACCGAATTGTTGGCATAAATAAATTTAAAGTTTGTCTTTTTGTCTTTAAATTGATTAATGCCAACAAACAGTTTGGTAGAATTCATACAATACTGTATAAAATATGGTGTCAAATAAAATTTTTAATAAAAGGCAATAAGATAATTATAGGATTAAAATTGAAGTGTAATAAAATTATGATTTGATATTTTTATTCGTTAATTTGCCGAGCAAGCGGGAGACCGTAATGAGCTATAACTAGCTCAATAAATACTGCCACCCTAAAATAAAATGTAAAATATGAAGTGACAAAATGAAATTTCTGCATGAACTAAAATTCACAAAGTTGAAAACAAAGGAATGTTCCCACAGATTTAAAGTAGATGGAATGTTATTGTACAATAGGGATATGACAATTTTTAAAGACCCTATCCCCATGTTATTTTTTGTGGAGTTTTAATGCAAAGATCAAGAAAAATCTAATGGCAAATGTCAACTTTAAAAAAATGTCACCCCCTTAATTAAATTTATATTATATATACATTGTACAAAATGGTTTTTTTAATCAGAAATACAAACATACAGGTTTTAGTGTTCATTTGTCAAAAGAAATTTAATGTTAATTTTTTCAATGCTTTTGCACAATAGAAGTAAATCCTGCAGAACTTTAATTGCACGTTCAGCACAAATGTTTGACCTTTGAGTTGAGATTGGAGTCGGCTCAACCGACCAAAAAGTCCTTAAAGTCTTTATTGCCTTTGATCTTTGCAAACGGCTGCCAAATTATTGTAGTTATCCTGATTATAAACCTGACCAGAAAACCAGATGTCACTCCACGTGCCAGTAATAAAGTCACATGATGACTGACCTTCGGCTGACTGTCAAAATTCTGGAAGTAAAATATAAGCTAGCAAAGCATAGATTGCTCGGCTATTCTACCTTGCATTGCTTATATTTGGCAAAGTTCTGAAATTTACTTTAGGAAGCATCCTGTTTTCTTAAACTGTCTGTAACAAGTGATCAAGTGATGAAGGAAAGCCATATCATCTCTCCAAACAATTTCTTCTTCCTTCAGAGCATCTGAATCTTGAGAACCACTGTCAGAATCTTGTTTTTCTTCTTCAGTGTTAAAATGTTCTTCATCTTTACTGCTTAAATCATCCTTAGTATCTTGACTGACTCTTTGCTGTTCTTCATCTTCACTGTTTAAATCATCCTTAGTATCTTGACTGACTTTTTGCTTAATCAACTTTAGTTTTCTAGGATGAACTCCTTGTGTATCTTCAATTGTGGTGCAGTAGCCAGCTCTACCATTTCTTAACTTCTGAAGATTATAGAGGGCTTTATCTTTCTACACAACTATTCTCCATTTTCATCAGTTACGTTGAACAAGTTGGTAAAATCTTGCGTTCCTGGTTTTCTGCTGTTTTTTTCATACTTGTTTAGTACATTCTCAATTTTTCTTTCCACTGTAGATTTGCCTTTTTGAATTGGAAGATTCAGTTTTTTCCATAAGATTTTTACTTCTTTGATCACTATCACAACTCTCTCCTGTCTACTTTTCACATTTGCAGCCAAGCACTTAAATCTGTCCAGGATATGCTGTTCTGTTGGCATTTTGTTCATTTGATCAAGACTGTCAACAATCTTTGCATACTTTTTTGAATTCTTGGCTTTTTCAAATCTCACCAAATTTGATTCCCATAGTTTCTTATTCAAATCTAAAGGAAGACTATTTTTAGACATCTTGACTATAGTCCTGTCGAATTATAATTTGAGTGTAAATTTAATTATCTACAAATAAACAAATCTTATGAGTTTAGGTTATCAAAATAAGTTTATAAAATATCAAAAGTCAGGTGATGATAACAAATATAATATATAATATGAAAGATTATGTAATAAGCATGCATACATATAGCAAAATCACACCAGCAATAAACTGAAGCTGTGATACCTTAAACTGTACTGTATCTAACAATAGATAGATGGGAGAAAACAGTTTTCAGCTTAGGGGGGTGAACTTTTTTAAAATTCAACACTTTCTAATGATATTTCCAGTTTTAAAATGTAATTTCTCCACTCATAGTGGCATGGGAAATCAAAAATTGCCAAAAAAAATTTTTAGTCATATATCTATTGTACAATTTAAACGTTAATATACAAAACAGACGCCATTGATAATCAGAAAAATTAAAAACAAGTCATTATACAGGATGCTGATTCAACATAAAAATCTTCAAGCGTTTTTTGAAAAGTATTATATTATAAATATTTTTAATGTCATTTGGAATTATTTCATTCGAAACCTTGGAAACATAGTGAAACAGACTTACCCGTAAAAATTTTAGTCTTATAGGATAAATATAAAAGGTGTGTTGTTATCTTGTAACTGTTTTTTATGTTTTCTAAATATAGACAATTAAAAAAAAATGGTAGCAAGTCATTAATATATTTAAAGAAAAAATTTGCAGAGAAGTATATATATAATTCTTTTATAGTTAATACACCTGCCGAACCAAAGTGTTGCACATGAGAATTATCATTTAAGTTTAATAATAATCTTATATATTTTTTCTGTTATAAAAATTTGATTAATTAATTAAAGGTATTTAAATTATTTAGACAAACGTATTGAGTTCTATTTGAGAGATAACATGTCAACCAATTATGAACTTTATCTCGAAAACCGTAATGATGCAATTTTCAGAAGTAGATCATGAATTATCGTATCAAAAGCTTTTGGACAAGTCGATAAATATGCTCAAAGACATTTCATTTTTTTCAATACTATTTAATATTCTTTGGTTAAACTTGAGTATAGCATGTTCAGTTGAATGATTTTTCCTGAATCCGTACTGTTTATCGCTGAGGATATTGCATCTAATGATAAACTGGATCATTCTATGAATGACAACTTTTCAACTTTTTCTAATATTTTTGAAAATGGTGAAAACAAGGAAATTGGTCTGTAGCTTCCAGCCAACTCAGGTATGCATTTTTTAAATATTGGAATTATTTTTCAAATTTTGAATTTTTCAGGAAAAACCCAGAGTTTATAGAGGTGTTACAAATATGCGTTATTGGAAGGACGAGTTCATCAATGAAAATCTTTTTTTGTAACTTTCAAACCAAACACACACGAGTGAAGAAAGTAAAACAGGCTTGGCAAATTAAATGCTTGCTTTCTTGCTTCGAGAAAAAATATTGAAAAAAAAGTTAAAAGAGAAATTGAGAAATTTGAAAAAATAGAAATGAAAATTTTTAAAAAGGTCACACAAGGAGTTCATGGATAAGCAATGAAACGCTTTGTTTGGTGGATGAAAAAAAGATCAAAGTTAAAATCTCGCAAGAATAAAGCAATCAAGAAAAATGCAAAAGTAGACAAAAATATTTGGATTGAAAAAAGATGCAAAGAAATAGATGGCAACTTTTATGGAGGGAAAATCAAAGAGGCATACAATCAGATAAAACAACTTTAAGGAGGATTCACGACGACGACAAGAGCAATTAAAGATACGAAGGGCAAACTGATTCTAGAAGATAGACAGATTAGTGAAAGATGGGCAAATTATTTAGAAAAGCTTTTCACAGACGAGAGCACATGAGAAGAAGGAATATTAGAAAAACTCAATGGATTATCAGCAGAAAATGAAGAGAACACTGTAAAGTGGAAAAAACAATAAAGATGTTATAAAACAATAAAAGCTGACGGTTTGAAAATCGTTGATAAAATGTGGGAAATATGCAAGAAATATGGGGAGATGAGAGATAGTCAGAGGTCTGGTTCAAGTCAATAGTAGTCAAAATACCGAAATGCCAAAAAAAGGAAACCTTATGGATTGCTCAAACTACCGTACAACAGCACTCATTCCACATGCATGAAAAGTGATGTTAAACATCATCTTCCAAAAAGTGAAAGGAATAATAACAGAAAACCGGAGTGAAGAACAAGCAGGATGCAGGAGTAATTACAGTACTTTTCAACAAATTCTGATATTGAGATTATTAGCAGAGGACAGAGTATTGAAAAACAGTATGGTAATGGGAAAACATGCCCAAGCTGACATAAGAATCGATGGAGGAAATATTGAACAGGTAGATCATTTTGTATACCTGGGAAACCTGATTACAAGAGATAATAATTGCAGTTCAGAAATCAGACCAAAAATTGACATCGCAGCAGGCATGTAAGGAACACTGAATGGAATATGATAAAAGCCCAAAAATATCACTTCAGAACAAATTAAAGGGAATAGATTTATGTGTAATATCAACATTATTGTATGCATGTGAAGCATGGTCATTGAAGAAAAAAGACAAAAGATGCATTTGAGATGAAAAATGCTTCTTGTGAAATGGACCTTTAAATTAACAGAATGAAGACGATAACGACGAGAATATTAGAAAGGAAAATGAGTTTTTTGGATACATCTATCAGATGAAAGATGACAGGCTCATAAAAATGGTTGTGTTTGCCAGAACAGAAGGAAAAGGGAGGAAAGGAAGACCTACAAGAAGATTGTTGGATGATATTAAAGAATGGAACGGAGGAAACGTATGGATGACAAAAAGGCAAGTTGAGTCAAGACATAATTTCTGGGGGA